CATGGCACTAACTTATATTTATATCACAGCAACTATATTTAAATTATATTTTTTTATATTTTACTTAATATTTGTTTGATTATTTTTGTATCGTAATGAATTCCACTTTCAGATTTCGGTGATATCTTCTGTGAATTAGCCGCTCATGAGTCACATGCAAATGCTAACGAAGCGTTCACCGTATTTGGAGAAGCTCATCGCCAGTTGAGCAAGAAACAGGTGATTGTCCCATAGGGGGTCCTATATAGGTTGGGGTCCCGCCGATTCTTTCCAAATAATGTTTTTTGGTCTTTTTTACGTTTTAATGGTCTTTTTTTACAGAGTGATTCGTTGAAGAATTTACGGCCACTCATTGCTGATCTCGTCACGTACGTGGACAAAGTAGTTCCAGATACTCAACTTACTGTGAAAAAGTTTGTTATTTTCAACCATTATCCTTCGAACTTACCCAGATATTTCGAAATAAAAATTAAAATTTGCAATAATAAGAGGGCAATGAACATGAAAATCGCACAAGTGCGCCCACGAGGATGTCCTGAGTCGAACAAAGTAGCTCGCTTTGCGAACAACGCACCCTGCTCCAGCGGGACAAGACGAGTAAAAGACTAGGGCAATAGAGGAAAAAGAAAGATCCATCGAGAGAAAAATTAAGGCGATCAACAAAAACGACAGAGATGGGAACAAACTGCCCTTTGGGCAGCTTATAGCCTATTGCAATTGAGTGGTCACACTCAGAGGGAAGTCCAGCATTCGTTCTCCCCTCGATGAACGCGAAAGATCGCCCACAATTGACAGCTTCGTTCAAAGCTGAGCGCTCCTTGAAAACTGGAAACTGCGTATTAATCTCTTTCCTATGTCTACGGACTAACATCCACATTTCAACAAACAGCAACGGATAGCAAAACGAGCACATGTGGGGGAGATTGCCCTAGAATTCGGCCGTTTGGACCCACTCGTACAGGCATTACCTTACCACGGACATTGCCTCACCCAAGTCCCTTTGAGGACCTTCTGTTGCTACCACTATATTATAAGTGGCAACGCAGGGAGTCGGATATTAGCCTGAGGCTATAATGAATTACTTTTCGAAGAGTCATCAAGGAATAATATCTGCAAGGCATTCCAAGAACGATACAGTGGGAAAGTGGTGGAGTTGATGAGAAATTCAATGGAATGATCCAATGGAAATAGAAGAAAAGCGATAAAAGAGATGAAATCAATAGTAAAATAATTAATAAGAAAAAAAACTTAGTGATAGAATACTAGTGAGAATTACGTTCCTCTTGACATCTAAATAGCAGCATAACTGTGGAAACGGGTGACGTAGTAGCCCATATACAGAGCGAAGTCGATGTAACTTGACGCCGGTCATCTGGTGGGACAAAGCGCTTTGTGCTTGATATCTAGCGCAGATTACCCATACCCTTTTTCATAGCGCTCGGGTACATGTTTATTTGCAACAAAAGCACTTCCAAAGCCAGATGCCCAAGGTGTCTTTGGCACTTGACCTATAAGTAGACTTCTAATGGAACTTTCGAGCTTAAGAATTGATAAAACTCCTTGCTCCTTCTCATTGGAAGCAGGGTGAGCCTTTGTAGTCCCTTTATCCAAAAACTTTGCGATCCCCTCTCTTTCAGGCAGGGTCAACCGTCACTTTGGACGATTTCGAAAATTTTACGACCCCCCTCCCCTTCTGGTTTGAGACCTCCTCCCCTTCTATAGTCCTGATACGAATAGCACCCTCCTCCACAAAGTTCAACCCTTACACCGAGCGGTCATTCGTGCCGTGGAAAAACTCGTTTCTTACAGAGATGATTCAAGATAAGCGATTTGGTCGTGAAGTGGACCTGCTGAAAGGGAGGTGCGCAATTTCGGGACTGCAGCACGCTACGGCAGGCGCATGCGTGGCGTATCCGAGGGCAAGAATTGCTTGTGCAGACCGCATTAGATTCGATTTATTATGCACAGAGAGACAGTTTTTAGGCAAATTACAGTGTTTTCTTGAGGAGTAAAGAACAGTTGATGCATCCCTATGAAAGGTTTTTCTCAGGGGACAACAATGGGTTGCGTCATAGTACCTAGCATACCTCTGTGTTTCTTACCTGCCAGACAGTTAGAGCAGCGCGACTACCTCCACTCATGGAGCACTATCGCGCTGCTCTAACTGTCTGGCAGGTAGAAACACAGAGGTATGCTAGGTCCTATGACGCAACCCTTTTTTGTCCCCCCAGAGGATTGAATCAGAGGAGGGGGATATATCCCCCTGGGGGAAGGATTGAATACCGCCCCTGTTTGAACTCACAATTTCCTAAGGAAGGCTTTCATAACACACCTGTGAAAAGGCAAAATTTAGCGCGCGACAACAACATAATCACTTCCTTTACTGACATTAATTGCCTTACCTCACTAAATGCGACCCCCCGTTTCCACCCGAATAGTACGACCCCACCTTCGTTGACCCTGTCCAACGCACGGTTGACCCTGCTGTCAGGTATCTCAATACCAGCTTCACCACCAGCAGTTTAGGAGGCTCCCCCAACAAGACCCCTTCCACCTATCCTGACCACCATCCTCACATTCATGGCTGTTTCTATAATATCTGATCCTGTGACAAGCCCACACTGACACAGCTCCATCCTTCCTACTTTTTTCCTTGAAACGGACGGTCGTCGATGGTGGGAGAGGGGGAGGAAGAGGGGTGAATCGATCTGATGAAGCAGGAAATACTTCAATTTTATTCTATTGCAAAATAATTTCGAGAACCATTCGCCAAAATTGTCAGAAAAAAAACCATCAACAAATTGCTAACCTTGTTCAACCCCAAATGCTTCCTCCTTTAAACCGCAAATGCGACCGCCGTTCGAACAGGCGCGAAAAGACGTCACAAATTAGGAGTGCAGTCAGTGAAAATTTGCCAGTTGCACATTTCTACAAGTTGAAGATATTAAAATTCAAGCATGTCATTCCACTTGTTTCTTCCAGGCCAGGGTGAAATCGTAATGACGATAGTGTTCAGATTTGAAACCTAAAGCACTCATCTTCGAGGGGAGAATTGGTTGAAGAATCCCATAAAAAATTTTTTCAGATATCTTGATGTCAAATACGAATACTTGTCTTACTGCTTGAAACTAAAAGAAATGGGATGAGAGAGTTGAGTACCATTCTTCACGAGGGCTTTATCGTAGTGCGAAGACGCAATTACGAAATATAGTTTTGTACGTTTTTTCATTCTGCGTATCAGCTTATTTTTAGAAGCCGCAGGAAACCTCCATGACTACCAAGAGCTATACACCCCAGATCGAATTTGTGTGGTCACAGCGGTTGATAATGAAGTTGTGGATGCCGAATTGACTAAAAATGAAAAAGAAGCAAAGAAAACCGTCGATGAAGTCCCCAAAATTCCCTTGGAAAAAGGAAGGGGCGGGGCCAGACGAGTTGTACGAACTTGCCTGCTCCATGCTCAACTAACCCGCGCGTATTTGAAGTTTGCCACTATGGCGTATCCACGTTGCGTGTCAGATGCTGACTTTATAAGGTCCCAGCGCCATTGTCGCGCTCTTTCGAGCCGCGACAACAGCACATCGAGGGCTACTTTATCTCACCCACTGAATAAATTTGACACGACTTCTGATGAGGATGTTGCACTAAAATTCTTCTTCGCATTTCAGTGATCAACATTATTCGCCTTCGAAGGCTTTGAATGGTAGCAAAAACCGGGTAAAAGAGTCAAAGAGGTACAGTTGAGTGACGAATGACAAAAAAATGACGAGAAAAGACCAAAGCACCGAGGACTCTTTTTCGGGCTCATTTTTCCTGGGTGATTGGAAAGAGGGCTAGAGGATAGTCTGACATCGGCGCCCTCAGCACTTCGGGTCGCGAAAGTGGCCCTGTCTCAGCAGCTCGGACTCGACGGCCTCATTCTTTAAGAGATTGATCCGATAATATAATCGCGTGATGTCCCTTCGAAACCGATCAATGGACAATGTTGACTGCCTTCAGAGGCATATCCCGCGATCGTAAAACCATGATTGTACCCCTCGAAATCCGCGTATATTTTGCTTTCCCATGGTTTTTGTTCGCGACTGGGTTAACTCATGGGAACCCCGAGAAGGAGCATATTTGTCTTGATTTTGGGTTTCTAGGACCCGCAAACCTCTCATTTTCTGCCATGCACGAAGTTCTCAAGTAAAATAACTTAATCTAGGTTGATGCTGCGCTGTCGGCAGGAAACAAGGCAAAAATTTGTACAAATGCGAAATGATGTCATGATAAAGATCGAACTGTTGGATCAAAAACATGGTGAGTTGACGAGCGTGTGTGTCGTTTCTTCCGAATAAATCATCGCGCGCGATGAACGCGGTCCCCGTGATCTCCCATGCGATGGCCTCACGTGGTCAGAGAAACAATAGCAATCACAGAGTGAGACAACAACAAGGT